ATTATGTGTAACTAAGAATATTAAAACTCCACCGTCTATAATAATAAAGTTCTACATTAATTTTGAAATGGAGCGTTCCAAAATTTATTTTAACACTAGTATTTTTAATACCTTTATTTATTATTTTTATGTGGTGTGGGGGATTGAACCCAGTGTCTCATGCATCCTAGGCAAGCGCTCTACCACTGAGCCATTGCCCCGTCCCTTAACACTAGTTTTTTAAAAATTATTTTTTAGATATTTTTAGTTGTTGATGGACCTTCATTTCATTCATTTATTTATATGTGGTGCTGAGAATCAAACCCAATGCCTCACACATGCTAGGCAAGCGCTCTACCACTGAGTCCCAACCCCAGTCCTTAACTCCAATTTTAAAACAGAACTTCATCATATAAAAATATGAGAATGCAATCTTTTCCATGATAGAGGCTATAATGCAAATAATATAAATCCTGAAAATTCATATTCTTCTAAGAAAAGGATATTTTAATCAGGTTTGGTGGTGCTTGCCTATAATGCCAACTACTCATGAGGCCGAGGCAGGAGGATCACAAGTTTGAGGCCAGCCTTAGCAACTTTGTGAACCCTGTTTCAAAATAGAAAGGGGAGAAGGCTGGGGCATAGCTTAGTTGTAGAACTCACCTGGGATCAATTCCCAGTACTGAACTTTAAAAAAGAAAAAGGTTATTAAAGAAAAACTTTAAAATGCAAATATTTCCTAGCATTTAGAAATAGCAAAGTAATACATCTGTGGGAATAGCATTTTTCCTTTTATAGTAAAAACAATAATAATAGGTATCACCTTTGTGCATCTGGTTTCGAGGCAAGAAGTTTCTCCTATTCTTCAACTTAACCATCAGGTAAACAATCCAAATTTCAAACTTGCAGGGATCACCTTCTCTATTTATATTGCTATTTATATAAGTTTTCATGGAGGAATTGAAAACGCTAGGTGCTGAATGACTTAGTGACTCATGAGTGAGCATATGCCACCTTTGGCAGGAATTAATGGTGCTCTACAACAGAGGTACTCATGGAGAGGGAAGACGGTAGATTAAGAGGAAACCTCTCTTACTTACTTGTCCCCCAATTTCAGTTGGGTCAGAATTACATTTGTGCTTAGAAGTCACTGTCCATGGAATAAAATAGAAGAGTGAAAATTCAGAATTGAGACACTGGATGAAGTAGGTCAGAGAATTAGTAACATGACCTTTCACTTTACACTCAAGGATATACAGTTGAAAATAGGATGAATTTGTATAATAATATGACTATGAAACTATGTAAAGTTCTAGTTCTCAGAAAAACTTGTTACAATTTTTCATTTTGCAGTAAGCCAAAATTCTTTATAACCACATATTCATTTTTTGATAAATGAGTACATTACCACAAGAAAGAATTCCCAATTCCAGAAAAAATATTGAAATTGGTCAAAGCTGCAAAGTACTAAAGGAAACTTTATTAGAACCATATGATCTGACCATATGTTTCTATAGACATTTGTAACAAAAGTAAACATACAGATTTGTCATGAATGGTTCACCTTTGAGAGGGTAGAAGCAGAGAAAATCCCAAGTTTTAGTTTTAAGTGTCTTTTATACTTAAGTGTTGGATAAATGGATATTGTTATCATTGAACTTGTTACCCTTAGATTTTGAATAGGTAGAAAAGAGAGTTTAGATGAATTTATTAATTTTGAAAATGGAGAAATAATAGATGCTGGGGCACTGGGGCAGGATTTTTAGAATATGAGTGATATGCTTCCCTTTAGCCATTACTTCTAGAAATGAGTGGAGTTCAGGATTATTATGGGGTGAGTACAGGGTCTGGGATAAAACAATGTGTGGCTTAGTCCCTTCTGTGAAACACTAGAAACAGGTATTAGCAGGATGAAAATGAACATGATAAGCAGTCTTGAGAGTATTTGGAAATTTGAAAAGGGCAACAGGCAACCTGAGAAATTTATGCAAAGGGAAAAGGACTTGGGTTGATGGGTCATTTGTTTGTACATTAGCACCCAGACCATTGTTTTCAGGAACAGCTGGTGCAAGCCAGTTCCTATTATCCTGTAATTGCCTCCTTGAGTTACTGCTCATCCTATACCCAGGTTGAGCTTGCCAAAGCATGAATTTGGATTTGAAAGTCATAGGAATGTATTCTTTGGAGTCATTATCAGAAACAGATGGATAAGTGTCTCACCTATTCCACCATGACATTTGGATTTGTACATTCCTTTGTTTTGTACAAATTGAATTTGGGATTCTGTTTTTTTTTCCCCCACTTTGCAATTCTTAAGACAATAGAACATATTTTAAAAAGCAATATTGCTTTTTCATTTTGGAACTCAAATTAAAATGTAAAGGTGACTTATTTACATTTGAAGACTTCAGAAAGTGACAAGCAAAGCAGCAAAGTTTACTTTGATTCTTCTCTTAAACTATAAATGTGACCTTTAAACCATTAAAGGGCATCACTGTTACTGATGACATAAATTTTCGGTTGATATGTACTCTGACTCATTCAAGCAATGGCAAAGGAGTTTTGTACAATTTAGTTTAACATCCAGGAAGATTCTTTGGATTTTTATTGGCCCAGTATTCTTGGGAAAAACTTTCTGGAAGATTTTCCTAAAAATAAAACAAGGTAAAAAGGTTTAGGAGACACATCACACAAATAGTTATACTAATTTCCTTTTAAAATACTGCTGATTGCAGTAATTTGGGTTTTTACTTTAGTTTCTGTGAGACTGAATCTTGCTATGCTGCCCAGACTGGCCTCCATCTCCTGGGCTCAAGCTATCCTTTTGCTTCAGTATGTCTCGTAAGCTGGAACTACAGGTGTGCATCACCATTCCTCACAGTAATTTGTTGAAGTGTGTTACTCAGAAGACTCTGTGGAAGATTACTGCACAAAGTGGTAACAATGATAATAATTGTTAATAATAATAATAAAATATTATTTAATAATATCTCATTATTATTAATAATAATGAAACATATCATTAAAATCTATTATCACAAATATATACTGCTTCTTGTAATAAACTCTATGGTTACATGCAGTCAAAATATGTGTGTCTTTAAATTAGTATTTTAATTCATTCACTTTTCGGTTATCTGTGATTATACCTTTCCTAAGAATGCCTTGAGACAGTCAAGTTAATATGAATTAAACTACATTAAAAAAAAAGAAGAAGAAGCATATGGTGTGTTGCTATCAATGTAACCTTGCTCTCTCTGAGCCTTGGTTACCTCATATTTAAGGAAAGTAGTTGATTTCTAAAAATACTAGTTCGACTCTAAAAAGTAATAGGCAATATGATTAACAAATCAAAACAAATTTAACCAGTTTCAAAACAGCACAGTGAAGTATAAAAATGGAAATAAATTGTCATAATATTGAGGTTCACTAGTAAAAAGTAATTATATAGACTTTTTAAAATACAAAGGTGAAAGTGTTTTTGCACATGGACCAAGTTCTAATAGATTTACTAGTTTTTGAAAGCTCAATTTCAGGATACTGAGATATCAATTGCACTTGATCATTGTTTCAGTTTCCTGACAATATTTGGACAATGCTTCAAAAACATCTCACATATTGCACATCATCTCATGTATCCTCAAAACAATTTTGTATTCACTTTTTGCTGTTGTTGTCAAAAATAAACTGAGGCTCAATGAGGTAAAGTAATAGGACCAAGCCAATTAGTAAGTAGCAGGGCAAAGCTCAAAACCCATTCCCTTGATTCCAACTTGTTATCTTTCTCCTCACCTGATGCAAAGTTTCTATATACTGCACTTTTTCTCATGTTTGATCTATTTCTTACGAAGTTATTATTTATCGCCATTTTAAGTTCAGAGAGTTAAATAGCTTACCCAAAGTGAGTTAGCAGATGGGGCTAGAACATGTTTCCAAATCGAATGGTAACAAAATCCATGTATAGTGCCAACCAACTTTAAAGAATGAAATATGGAAATATTAACATGTATTTTATTATAACATATTTTGGTAAATCTATACTGCAAATAATTGCTTAGTTTATGGTTATGCTTTATCTCCAAATACAGTGTTAAAGATGGCGCAAAGTAAGATTACTTGGGTCCTTTTACAACAGATAAAAAAGCTTAACGTTCAGTGGATTTCAAAGAACATTTAGATATAAATATAGTATCATCAGTTGGAAAAAACTACCAAGACAACACTTCATCCCAAATAACAACAAATCAGTGCTTGATACTGCTAAAACTTTTCAAAGATATATAACAACGATGACACCAAGTTTATATAAATATGCCACTTGTACAATATGGAATTTTATAATAGCAAGGAGCCAGATTACTTTAATATCAAGTTCTGTAAAAATAAATATGTATGTATTTATTGCTGGAGTTGAACCCAGAGCCTCACACATACTAAGCATGTGCTCTATCACTGAACTACACCCCCAGCCCTAAGATTTATAAAAGTTGATATAGAACATTTTAATGTAAAATGATGAAATTTTGGGGAAAATCAAAATTATATAAATTCCTTAAGAAAGGAAGACCAAGCCAAAAAAAAAAAAAGTTATAAAAAAAGCACTAAAAAACCTCCCCAATTATAAATTGTTAACCAATGAGTCTTTTAATCAGTACTTACCATTAGCTTTTCAAAGGTAATTTCTGGGAACAGTAAGTTTCTTATGGCTTTTGTTTTCTTTTCAATACATTGAAACTTGTTTATTACAGAGTGAAATTTGGTATAAGATGGGTTATTTTGGCCCTAGTCCAAGAGGGTTTAGTTACTGAAAGCACCTCATTATAAGGTGGTCTTACCAATAAGGTGATCCACTGGCTCAGATCCCATGGATATTATAACAAGGCTCCATTGTGGAGTACAGGAAGCCAGGCAGCTAATGGTTCCATCAAATGAAACCCTTCGAAACAAAATTCTTTTTTTTTTTTTTTTTGAGACATGAAAATCGTTTAGGGCTAAGGGATCATAATCATAAGCCTTGGTCATTTTTCTAAATTTCCATTTCCTGAAATGATGTTCTTTATTGTATGTTTCATAGCTGCACAGATATTTCACATTAAGGTTTTAGCTTTCTTAGACATTCATTGCCTGATGTGGTCTTAAACTTTTTTGATTATGAAAAATTTCATTATTAATACTATCTTTACAAATGATTGACATCATTTTGCTATGGAAATAGACAAGAAATATAACAAGAATTCATAAAAGTTGAAATAAACTCTTGTATGGTAGGCTGAGAAATTTGAGATTAAAAAGAGTGTAAGTAAGAATAACTGTGTGGTAATCAAATATACAAAGAATGCCATCATTTACAGATGACTACAATAACCAGTCTTTCAAGTGATTTTACAACAGGCACTTTGATTTCATGAAGAAGTTTTATAAGCAGTTCTAAAGAATTAAATATTTTGAGTGTGTTTTATTATAGGAAAATAATAACATGACAAAGTCCTATTGCAGAAAAATAGTATGAGAATACTCTTTTTTAAAATTAATGTTTTGAATAGAAAGATCATAAGAATAAAAACAAAGCCTTATGTGAATGTAAAAGCAGTGCCAAACTTAAAACCATGTAAAAATAAAATGCATAGTAGGAGCATAGTAAGAATTCTCATTAATTTCCAACACTATTTTATAAAGTTTTTTGGGGGGCGTGAGGTACTGGGGGTTGAACTTGGGGGCAGGCACTCGGCCACTCAGCCCACACATCCCCAGCCCTATTTTGTATTTTATTTAGAGACAGGGTTTCACTGATTTGCTTAGCACCTCACTGTTGCTAAGGCTAGCTTTGTACTTGCGATTCTCCTGTCTCGGCCTCCTTAGCCTCTGGGATTACAGGTGTGTGCTGTGCCTGGCTACAATTTATAAAGTTTTAAATGATTCATCTAAAATTCAAATATCATCTATTCTTTACATTGTACCTTTCTTCCATGAATAAATCCCTTACTGCAATGGTAGTTTTCATGATTCATGGCCTGTATCTATATATATTTTTAGCTCTTCCATATTATTTTATATGCATTGAATATATAAGACAAATTATCTGATAAAACAATTTCTAACATATATCTCAAAAAGTTTAAAAAATAAACCAGTCAAATAACTTTTCCTTTTCCTATAGGATGGTTCATTGTCAGATGATCTATATCCATCAATCTACAGTTAGGGAAAGCTTTATATAAAGCAAGAGTGTACATCAGATACATGATTGGTTACTAATAATTAACTGCTAACTGATAATTAATTGGTAGCCCGCCAAATGCCAAGTACTCTTTCAAATGCTTTCATATGTTTTAACAATGATATAAACATCTTAAGAAAAAACATGTTATCAGTAATGAATACCTTCTATTCTACAAAAGCCAGTAGTTTACTTCTGGACTATCATCTTGGTCAAAATTGTGATTTGAGGAGTGACTATAGACCTATTTCAACAGTGATATCATTGTGCAAAATTTTTGAAACACCTTTTAGTTTTACTAAAGGCTTGTGGCACATGTCTATGCACATTCTCAGTAATGGAAAAAATCTTAGCCTAAAAGGATTAGATTCTTGAAAGAATAAAAAAAAATCTTACTTTGGGAAAGGGGATGATAAAATTGGGTAATAACAGTAGAATCTAACTACAAAATAATATGCTTGATTTCTTCATGTACTTTAGCAATTCTTCTAAAGTCAAATTTGAAAGTCCCCAAAATGTCTTAAGCTTTCCAAGTCATTATGTACCTATCCTATGCTCCCTAAATGTATGTTTTATTTTAAGCATTTTGGAATAAAAGCAAGTCAAAACTGACTCAGAGTAAAATGTCAACAGACATTCCTTTAAATCTTATATATTTAAAGTAGAAAGGGGTTTGTATGACTTTATAGTACTGAATTTTACATTTCATAGATAAAATTAATTCTGTGTAAGACGTGGTATTGCCAATATGACTTAGCAAATTAGAGCCTGAGCAAGGAATAGAGTCCAAGTCTCCTATCTTCTACTTGGTACTCTTTCCCCTACCATGTTACCCTTATCTGTAGTTTAATCAATTTTAGAGGGGAATAATGGTTTCACTCTTTCAAAACAATGTAGCAATTATATTCTAATCTAATGTTTGGTATTTATTACTTACTGAACAACTAAGAAAAATACATAATATCAGGAATCTAGTATTGGGGTCTAATATATCCCAATATTTAGAGATAAATTCTTTAACTGATAAACTGTCAATTTAAATGTCTCTTAACTATTTTTAGGGTTGCAATAACCAATGCTATAGAAGGAGATAAGCTGTATTAAATAAAAATGCTATAAAAATGAAAGCAAAATATATGTATATGTAATAATTTCTCTAAATGAATGTTAAAAATATCTGACTACTAGTAATTCTGACTTGATAACATGCTATATGAACTACTTGCACAGCTCATAAAATTTCAGTTTTGTCTGGGAATGTAGAAGCCTTGAGTACCATATGCAAGGCCCTGGGTTCTATCACTAGGAGCAAACAAAACAATTCAAGTCACTCACAAGAAGTCCAAATTGCCCACTGAATAACAGATGTTTCTTAGAAAAAGATTAGTGTATGTATTTTTGGAATGAAGTCAGAAATGGCCACACCACCCAGCCCCCCTGCCTTTTGTGGTACTGAGGATTGAACCCAGGGGCACTCTACCACTAAGATTCATCCTGAGTCCCACACCCGGACCCCAGCCACTTTTTTGAGACATGCGTCACTAAGTTGCGAAGGCTGGCCTCGAACTTGCGATTCGCTTGCCTTCACCTCCTAAATAACTTGGATTACGGGCATGCACCATCACGCCTGTTAAGAAGAACATCTTTTATAACCATTTTTGATCAAATGTATAATTTCATTCACTAAAGCATAAACACACTCAAAATTTACAGAAAGGATTCATGTCCTTTAAGGAAACATATTTCAGCTGTAGTACATATATGGGTTTGCTTATTAAATTTATACATCAAGTTTTCTATCTTTATAAAAGTTGTATAATTTAAGTTATATTATAAAATACCACTTTCTTCCCCTCTAGAGCTGGGGATCAATTATCACCTTTCCCTGTAATGATGATGAAGTTAAATAATTAAGAACTGAATATGTGGAATATTTCATTTGGCTTTTTTTTTTAACTTTACATAATTTTGTTCATGATGTTTAATTTTAGCTTTATCAAACGAAAGGTAAAACAACTTCAGTTAAGAATGCATGCTGTTGCTAGGTACAGTGGTGCACATCTGTAATCTCAGCTACTTGGGAGGCTGAGGCAGGAGGATCACAAGTTGGAGGTCAGCCTAGGAAACTTAGCAAAACTGTGCCTCAAAGTAAAGTTAAAAAGGGTTAGGGGTGGAGAAAGCATGTTATTTCCTTCCTTAATTTTTCTGACTTGGCAGTTTGGTTAGGGAATAAATTCTTCAAGACAAATTTTGATATCTAAGAAAAAAGTCAGACCAATTGAAAGTAAAACATATAGTGAAATGTAGCTGAGATATGACTAGATGCAACTGCTACTAATATTTATATATCAGCGTGAAAATAAATGGATAAAGCGGACTACAAAATATGAACAGTTAATGTGAAATTGGAAGTGCCCTAGTAAACTGTAGATATCTTTCAGATTGATTAATTTTAAATTACATTTAGCTAAGTAAGACTTATTAGAGGAATAAACTTTGTATGAATCACTTTATCAAAATTTGAGAATAGTAAAATTTACATTTCTGAACATACAATTAGATTAAAAAATCTGATAACAATGAATTAAAGTGAAAATTTAAAGTAAGACCATTTTATCGAATGCGTAAATTATTCTTTACATGTCATTAATTTTATTCTCTTCAATATGAGTGATTCTATTCAACTTTGTTTCTGTGTAATCCTCAGCTTTCACATCTCTGACTGAATTCACTCCTTTCATAGTTCTAATTTCAAAAAAGTCTCCAGCTAAAATGCAATTTGAATTATTACTGAATCCATCGGTTTCAACTAGCTTATTTTTTTCTTCATCTGTTTCTACAGAATCATAAAGTTCAGGTGTAAAATAGATAGATTCATCTTCTACTTCTGTTTCAAAAGTTGTATTTAAACTGGAATGTTTAGCTTCTTCACATTTCTGAGACAGTTCCAAATCTGGATCCTGGGCTTCTTTAGAGCAGAACAGTTCTTTTGAATGATCTTTTTTGGAAAGAGTAGTGTCAATCTTTATTGATGAAATAATGTTTTCTGATTGAGGGCATAGCCCAAACGGCATGTTTACTTTTATATTTGAGGAATCATATTTATCAGTAAGTGGCAAAGTAGTTTTATTTTCCTTATTTTCTTCTTTGAAAGTGGAAGAACTAGAGGCACAATTCTCTGATGTACTGAGCTGGGGTGTAACAGCCTGCATCTTGCCAGTAAAATACTGTCCTAAAGAATTAAAGTTAGACCAGCTAACTTTCTTTGTTTCTTTACTGAAAGTTGGGCTTGAGGATCTGGAAATCACAAATTTTTCAGCTTTCTTTGCTTGGACAGACTCTTCCAATAATACTGGATCATCTAGAAATACAAAAATTTAAAAACTTTAACTTTCTGCTCCTAGCTAACATAATAATTGTTATAAGTATTTCTTAAATTAGGAATGCTTAAACAACTATGTAGAATACATAATTTAGAGCCCAAGATCAGTAATGTTAGACTTTCATCTTAGAACTTAAAGAACAGAATTTTAATTCTGAAAGGAATATCAATCTCATTGTTTCCTAGCCCAAGTTATAATGCTGTCTTCTAAACTTCAAATTACACATCAGGGACCTCAATATTGAATGAGAAAAAGAGGGGTAAAAAGGAAAAGGGCTCAGTAAAGGAGGGAACAAGTCATAAAAATATGCCTTGAAAATTCACCAATCAATGATTGAGAAAAGCTGCCCTAGACTAATTCCTTATATAGCAAATAAGGAAACTAACAAGCACAGAACCATTATTATTTGTTCAAAGTTATAAAACTGGTTAGTAGTTAAGACCAGTACTAGAATCTAGGTTTCCTGATTACCAGTACAATAATCTTGGATTCACTATGACACTTACTCAGAAGCATATACCACAAAATAAATGTTTAAAAATCGATGTTAAGATACAATGCTATATGAATTAAAAAATTAAATTTATATACAATAACCAGAGTTTGGCAAACTTTTTCTATTACAGGCCAGATAGCAAATATTTTAGGCTTTGCAGGTCACACTCTGTTCCAATTACTTAATTGTACTACTCTAGTGAAATACACACACCTAGTCAACTTTGTTGTTGTTTGTAATTATGTAAATGAATGGTGTGGCTGAGTTCTGTTAAACTGATTTACAAAACCACAGCAGGTTTGTTTGCTAATCTGATACAGACTATTATTTCTAATATATTCTAAAATATTTATTTTATCATATGGCATAAAACAAAGAAGTTCATATGAGAAGCATCTCCAAATTAAACCAATTTTTACACAAACTTTAAAATAACAATCATCTCTACAATATGTCTTATTTGACCTTTATAACCCAAGCTGGAGGGATAGCTAGGCAGGTATACATTTTTTCTATTATGACTCAAAAAGGTTAAGTGGCTTGCTAAGAATCACAAAGCTAGTAAAAGGCACGGCAGTTAACAGAAAACCGAAAAGCATGCCCTGACAAAGGTCTGTCCCCCATTCCAGTCCACTGTATTATTTCACTATTTTTGATAACAATTTCTATTATAAGTTTCAACATATTTAAGGAAATAAATCTATCCCAAAATAAATATCATTTCTCTATCATGAAAGACTTCTTTATCAAATATAAATGGGCAGAACTTTTCATACCTTTCTCTTTTCTAGAGATGATATCACTTGGTAGAAATGAGTTTTTAGTAATCACTTTAGGACACTGTAGTTCTTGGACACACATTTTTGTTTTACATTTCGTAGGATGTTCTGGTGGTAGATAACTTAATGTATCAAGTAAATAAGTAGGGCTATCATTCTCCAAATAGGACTCTTCAAGAGTAGATTTACTGTCTTGTATACACTTTTGGTCCTTTTTGGATATATCAATGATTTTTTGGTGCTTTTTGGAAAATTCAGCCAAGGATTCCAGTGCACTTTCAAAAGTTGAATGGTGCTGAATCTGCTGCCTTATCCATTTAGAAAGTCCTAAAGAAAAAGTAAACCCAGAGGTATGTGTAAGATAGTATGTATTAAGAAAAAACTTCATTTTTCTAATGAAGTAATCTAATTTGCATTTGAATATTCAGAATGATTTTCAATATTTTTTCCTTCAATTTTATTTTATATGCACATGATTTATAATGGGGTTATATCTTGGGAAACCCATCATTAAGCTGAAACTATTGTAAATTGAAAAAGCACTTAATGCATCTAACCTATCCTACATGATAGCTGAGCAACACAGTATATACTATAGAGTACCAGTTGTTTATTGGCATGATCACTTTGGCTGCGTAGGACATGCAGCTCACTGTTGCTGCCCAGTTTCACAAATGAGAATTATACCATGTATCACTTGTTAGAAAAATATCAAAATTGAAAAAGATCAAAAGTAAAGTATGGTTTCTGCTGAATGTGCATCTCTTTCATAATTGTAAAGTTGAAGAATTTTAAGTGGTACTATGGTTAAGTCAGGATATGTCTTTATTCACCTCGTTTGAGAATATCTAGGGAATAAAGCAAATAAATTATATCATAATTCCTCACAAAAAATGCCTACTTTTTTCATAGGGAATCTAGAAGTTGTAAACAATATAATCCTCCATTCCATCCTTCCAAATTTGGCTCTATTTCAAAAAATAAACTTGCAATTCCAGTCTCAAAGGTTTTCTTGATCAATTCCAAATACATCTTAAACTATTGTGGAGGTGAAAGAAATAACACTCTTTTGTGGACAAATCATATCTGATTTTAATTTTTATTAAATAATTTTAAAATATATAAAAAATCAATGTATAGGATATGATTTGACCTGTGATATATGAAAACTACATAAAAATTACCATATTTAGAGTATAAAGTATTATGGTTCACTTCACAATAAAAAAAATCTTGATTTTTATAAAATAAGTATTCCCTGCATAATGTTACTAAAACTAGTAGTTTTTTTTTTTTTTTTTTTTGACCAATTAGTTTTAAAAGTCACTATGGTATTATAAGTTCAGAGAAAGATAAAACAGGGTTTCAAGAAACCCAAATCATTATATTTCCATTTCAAATACATTCCTTTAATTTTTTAAATATATTTTTTAGTTGCCAATGGGTTTTTCACTTTATTTGTTTATTTATATGTGGTGCTGAGGATGAAACCCAGGGCCTCACACACGCCAGGCAAGTGTTCTACCACTGAGCCACAACCCCAGTCCCCTTTAATTTTTTTAATGGGAGCTTTTCTGTCAATTATCTATTTATGCAAATTGAATTTAAATAAAAAGTGGTCATCAAAATGAATTTGTATGCCATGCACAGTGGCACATACCTATAATCCCAGCAGCTCAGGAGGCTGAGGGAGGAGGATCACGAGTTTAAAACCAGCCTCAGCAACAGTGAGGCACTAAGCAATTCAGTGAGACCCTGTCTCTAAATAAAAAATACAAAATAGGGCTGGGGATGTGGCTCAGTGATAAAGTGCCCCTGAGTTCAATCCCGGGTACCCCACCAAAAAAAAAATTTTTGTTTGGTGTTGTCCCAATATTACCAGGAAAACATTTTACAATTTATGTCAGAAAAAGAAAATAAAAACCCTCTAGAAATAACAGGAAATATTTAATTCTAAAAATCTCTAAATAATTCTGAACTAGGAAGTAAAAGTTTAGATTCTAGATTTTAAAATTAAAGAAAAATTAAACAGATTTCCTCTAACCTTTTTTGTTTCCTAGGAAAAATGATTAGACCAAATAAAAATGAAATTCCCCCAAACTGAAAAATTTTAGCATTATATAGTTGCCTTTTCATTTTGACCTTTTTGCAATCAAAGAAAACCTTTTCAGTGTAAGATGTCATTATTTGCTACTGAAAACTTGAAAGGATCTGAGCTCCACCTGGTGACTAAATACTAGGACTTAGTACTTTTTACTTTTGGTTACTACTTAATCGAAACTACTGCTTGTTTTATATTGAAAGAAAATCAAGAAAAAAAAAACTATTCTTACTTTAATCTTCAATTACTTTTTAATGTCAAAATATAGTAATTAGACTCTAAAATGGAAAGTTAGAGATCATGTCCACACATAGTTAGTGAAAAAAAAAATCAGTTTAGCATGTCTTTATTATGGCATATTGAAAATTTTAGCTTAAAAAATAAAGTAATAAAGATGCAAGTAGGACTGGGGCTGTGGCTCAGCGGTAGCACACTTGCCTGGCATGTGTGAAGCACTGAGTTCGATTCTCAGCACCACATATAAATAAATAAGTAAAGAAAGAAAAAAAAAGGAAAGAAGGAAGGAAGGATGGAAGGAAGGCAGAAAGAAGAAAGAAAGAAAGGTCTATCAAAAACTTTTAAAAAATTTTTTAAAAAGATGCAAGTATATCCCACAGCTCTTTGAAAATGAGTGAATTCTTCATATTAGCTTCTGAACCAGAATGTCAACGCTGGATAAATACTAGAGGCACATATTTATTGATTTGAGCGGGGGAAAAAATGACCCTCTACTTGATCTTGTCCCATGTAGTGGTGCTTTATTTCCTTTCAGAAATTTTGACTAACAAAAACTCAAAACAACTAAAACATCTCTAAAGTAGCAAATAAAAACCAACAAACTTCAATGTAACCTAAGACAAAAGAGAAACCTAAGTGGCCAAAAGAGACACACTTGCTTATTTAAATTTAAAAACAGTATTTCTTAGAAAATTCATTTCTGTGGAAGAGCTTTTACTCTGAAAATGGCAAACAAAGCATATTATAAAAATGCATATTATTGAATTATATCTCATATTCTATGAAACTAAAGAATCCTAGTTGATCTAATCTTTGTTGATAACCAAAATTCTCATTTACATAGAATTTTTATAAACATATGAGAATTAAAAGATTAGATTTCCAGTCCATGGGAATTGTCCATGTTTGATCTAATAATTCATATTTTCTGTTCAACTCTTTGTCTTTTAAAATAGAAGCCATTAAATACAAAGCCTTTAAGATGGTAGAACAGGAAGCCTCAGACCCACCTTCCATCTATGGAGACATGGATTCAACCATACACACCTCAAATTCCTTTACGAGATATCCAGAAACCAATTAAGAGGCTCCCGAACCTAGGTTAGTGCAAAACCAGATGCATCAAAGCAGGTAGGAAAATTTGTGGCACCTTCTCACCACAGTCCCTCCCTTGGAACAGTACCATATGATTGGGAGTAAAGTCCCAGCTCCTGCTTCTCCCGGGAGAGAAAGAAGACTGGACTGTATGTCCAAAGTTCTGACTTTTCAGATTGGCTGCATGAGGCACTTGCCTGTCTTGCTGTCTGGAAGTGCTGACATGACAAGCATAGTCCACATGACCGGGGACTACTGGGAACAGAAGAAGAACTGGGCAGCACAATGCTGCTCTGCAGGAACCACGATACAGGAGATGGAGGTTGATGTAGCTCAGTTGCCACTTCGGGGGTTGGGGGTAAGAGAAGATGAGTGTGTGTCCAAGGTTTTGGCTTTTCCATGAGCTACCCAGGGACTGGTTTCTGCTCACTCTGCCATGGAGCACTGGCAGAACCTGGCATACTCTATTATGCCTGGAACCCACTGAGAAAAGAGCTGGGCAGCAGGCTGCTGTTTACGAGATTCCACAACACAAGAGATTACTAGTCCATCCAAAAACAGAAAGAAAGGGAAAAAGAAACTAGCAAATTCCTCTAATTAGGAATCTAGGCACCTAAGTCCAGAGAAGACAGATCCACAGAAAAGGTTTGAGAGGCTCCCAGAATGCCTAGTAGACCTGAAGAGTAAAGGTCATTTCCTGTGTGAAGCTGTGAGAGGTGGCTGTTCTTTTAAATGTGTGAATGCCATGACAAAGCTGAAGAACAGAAACAGGTAAAACAGACCTACCCAAAAAACAAGACAAATCCTTAGAAACTAACTCTAAAGGAATAAATGTATGTGAATCACTTGACAAAGGACTTAAAATAAATGTCAAAGGGTGCTCACTCATGAACTCAGAAGATGGAGAGAGAGAGAGAGAGAGAGGAGGGAGAAAATAAATGAATATATTTTAACAAAGAGATAGAGAATACAATGTGATGGACATTATTATCCAAAGTACATGTATGAAGACACAAATTGGTGTGAATATACTTTGTATACAACCAGAGATATGAAAAATTATGCTCTATATGTGTAATAAGAATTGTAATGCATGCTGCTATCACATACAAATTAAAAAAAATTAATTAGAAAGAGGAAAAAAGAGCAGACAGCTTATTTACAGAAATAAAAATAAAAATTATCCCCAAACTAAGGGAAAGACTGACATCCAGGTTCAAGAAACCCCAAAAATCCAAATAATCTAAGATACATTATAACAAAACTGCCCAAAGGCAAAGAAAAAACAATTTTTAAAAGCAGGAAGAAAAAAGCAATTGATCACACATAAGTGAACTTCCATAAGACTGTAAATGGATTTTTTAGAAGAAACTCACAGGTTAGAACAGAGTGGCATGAAAGAAAACAAGAACAAAAGTAAATAACTGCTAACCAAAAGTAAATACTAGGCAATCTAAAAATATTTATAAATGGTCCTGAGAACTAGATGATAATTTTTCAGTAATCAATTAGGATATTTTAACATAAACATTTTTGTAACATCTTTTTTGATGTTACTGAGATCTCTTCCTGAATTGATTTCTATTTGGGGAAGAGGGATCCCCCAAAATACAGAATATGATGAAGATCATCTATAATAAATACTACCAAAAAAAAAAAAAAAAGAAAAAGATAGAAAGAATACTAGGCAAAACTGTCCATCTAAATGAAGAAGAGATAAAGACTTTCTCAGATAAATAAAAGCTGAGGAAGGTGGGGTGGGGTGTGGTGTGGTGGTGTATGCCTGTAATCTCAGCGGCTTAGGAGGCCAATGTAGGAGGATCAGGAATTCAAAGCCAGCCTCAGTAATCTAGGAAGGTCCTAAGTAACTATCAAGACCCTGTCTCTAAATAAAATACAAAAAAAGAGTTGGGGATGTGACTCAGTGGTTAAGTTCCCCTAGGTTCAATCTCTGGTAACACACATACACACACACATACAGCTGAGGAAGTTCATAACCACTAAGACCTGCCTTATAAGAAATGCTAAAGGAGGTTTACTAAACAACCACAGAAAGCATATGAATGTGTAATTTGTTGATAATGTTGTCTACAACAATGATACATAAACCTCTCCATCTCTTTTAGGAGTACTAGAGATCAAATCCAGGGAAATACGCATCCTGGGCAAGTGCTCTACCATTGATCTATCTATATTCCCAGTCCCATAAATCACTTTAAATGCTGATACAGAATTTAAAAGATGAAAGTATAAAAACTAATTATAAAAATATGTTAACAGATACACAGTACAAAAAGGGGGTAATTTGTGACTTTGATTATAGACTGTGTTGAGGGAAAATAAAAATGTAAATATTTTGTATGCAATTGAATTTATCAGCTAAAAATAGACTGTTATAACTATAAAATGTTTCATGTAAGACCCATGGTAACCACAAAGAAAATACCTAGAAAAGCCACGTAAAAGAAAATGAGAAAGGAATCAAAGCATGTCACTTCAAAAGAATCAATGAAATACAAAGGAAGACACAAAGTCAGGAAAAGAGGGACAAAAGAGCTATAAATCAGACAAAACAATGCACAAATAGCAACAGTAAATCCTTCTCTATCAATAATTACCTTAATATAAGTGTATTTGCTCCCTGTCTTACTCTACTCAGGTTGCTATAACAAAGTACTCTAGAGTGAGTGATTTTAAAATAAAAATTTATCCTTTTCAGTTCTGGAGACTGGGAATTCCGAGATTAAGATACCAGCAGATCTGGTATTTTGATAAGCACTTATTTCCTTGTTCACAGATCCCTGTCACCATGCTTAATCTCACACAGAGAAAGGAATACTCCTCTGAATGGAATTATTGTCCTCCCAAGAGACAGTAGTGTGGACAATAATCCCATTCGGGAAGGTATTGCCTCCATGAACCAATCACCTCTCAAAGACTCCATGTCCTAATGGCATCGCCTTTCGGTTAAGGATTTCAACACTGAATGTTGGGTGGACCATACTAAAGCACTATCTAATCAAAAGCCATGGAGGGGCTGAATGGATCCAACATATGCTATATAAAAGATTCATTTAAGAAGATTTCAAGAAAAAGACAAACTGAAAGTGAAAGGATGGGAAAGATTTTGGGTGGCTATACTTTTACCAGAAAAAATAGACTTTAAATCAGAAACGGTCACAAGAGGGGCTATAGATGTAGCTCAGTGGTCAAATACTAGCCTAGCATGTATGAGGCCCTGGGTTCAATCTTCAGTATTGAGGAAAAAAAATTCTGTCACAAGAGATCACAAAAGATGTTATATAATAATAAATGTGTCAATCCACTAGGAAGATATAAAAATTACAAATATATATGCCCTTAATATTCTAGCAACCAAATATTTCTAAAGAAAATACTGACAACTAAAGGGAGAAATGACAATAATGAAAGATTTTAACACCCCCAGACAGAAAGTCAATATGAACCAATTGAATAAATCAATACTGTAAAACTCATAGAAGAAAACAGGGGAAGAGCTGCTCCAAGATAAAGCTGAACATCTCCTTCCCAGCCACGGGCTGTTAGAAACTCATTGAAGTGGACGATGAACGCAAACTTCGTACTTTTTATGAGAAGCCTATGGTCATAGAAGTTGCTGCGGATGCTCTGGGTGAAGAATGGAAGGGTTATGTTGCCCAAATCAGTGGTGGAAACGACAAACAAGGTTTCCCCATGAAGCAGGGTGTCTTGACCCATGGCTGTGCTCGCTTACTACTGAGTAAGGGGCACTCGTTATAGGCCCAGGTGAACTGGAGAGAGAAAGTGCAAACCTGTTCAAGGTTGCATTGTGGATGCCAATCTGAGCGTTCTCAACTTGGTTATTGTAAAAAAAAGAGAGAGAAGGATATTCCTGGACTTACTGATACTACTGTACCTCAAAGACTGGGACCCAAAAGAGCTAGTAGAATCCGCAAACTTTTCAATCACTCTAAGGAAGACGATGTCTGCCAATATGTTGTCATTCCTTAAACAAGGAAGGTAAAAAACCCAGGACCAAAGCCCCAAAGATTCAGTGTCTTGTTACTCCACGTGTCCTGCAACACAAGTGCTGGCGTATTGCTCTGAAGAAACAGCGTACTAAGAATAAAGAAGAGGCTGCAGAATCTGCCAAACTTTTGGCCAAGAGAATGAAAGAAGCCAAAGAAAAACGCCAGGAACAAATTGCCAAGAGACATAGGCTGTCTTCTCTGAGAGCTTCTACTTCTGAGTCCAGTCAAAAATAAGAATTTTTATCAGTAACAAATAAATAAGATCAGACCTTCAAAAAAAAAAAAAGGAAAACAGGGGAAGAACTTCATAATATTGTCTTGGTAAATACCTATTGTTCTATAATTATCATATGATCCAGGAATTTCACTCTTGGTGTTTATTCAAAAGAATAGAAATATGTTGAAGAGATATCTGTGTTCTCATGGTCACTGCAGTATTGTTCCCAATATCTAATAGGTAGAAACAACCTAAAAGTCTACTGCCAAATAAATAAAAAGAATAAGTATGTACATACAATTATTCAGTCATAGAAAGGAAAAAATCTGGTCAGATACTTGACATGGATGAAACTTGACATTGTGCTAAGTGAAATGAGCCAGTCACAGAAGGATAAATATAGCACAATTCAATTTATATGAGATATCTAAAATAATCAAACTCAAAGAAGCAGAAAGTGGTGGTTGCCAGGTTATGAGGTAGAGGGAAATAGGGTACTGCTTTGTACTTTTTAATTATATGAGATCTAGAGATCTGCTATAAGTATTGTGCTTATCTTAATGTTGCACTATTTGGGCAGATTTTAATGTTTTTTACTACAGTGAAAAAAAAAATTCTCACTAGTTTTTACTTTAAACCTAGCTTAGAATCTTACCAGATATATAGCGATTTGGGTTATTCCTGAAACGGTCATCCACTAGAATAAGAGCTCCCCAATCATTTCTGTGTCGAATACACCTACAAAAAATAGAAGGAAAATAAAATACATATAACATGAAAGATTAAAGCTAGGTTTCTAGAGGAATTGACAGAAAATTAAGAAAATCAATGGTGTATCAATTATACACACCTATAATCAAATCTGTTATTATGAGAACAGTTACAGAAAAAGCTACCCAATATAATGTATCCAAGTAGGTAAAAATAATAATAATAATAATAAATCCTCTGGGACTTGGGATGTAGCTCTGTGGTAGATTACTTAGTATATATAAGGCTCTGGGTTTAACCCCCAGAATCGGAAACAACAAGCTGCTGGGATTACAGGAGTGTACCACTGTGCCTGGCTCAGCTATAATTTCTACAAATATACTTTCTCTTTCTTTTTCTCTCTTTCCTCCTTTTGGGACTACTATTGTGTGTATAATATGCTTGATAGGATTCTACATATCTCTGGGATTGTTATTCTTCATTCTTTTTCTTTCTGTTCCTGAAAATGGATAATCTCAATTGATGTTAACTTTAAATAGCCAGATTCTTTCTTTTGACTATCAAAATCTGCTAATGAATTTTTCATTTCATTTATTGTCCTTTTTAACTCTAGAATTTATATTAGTTTTGTTAAAAAAAAAAATTAGACCTTTATTGATAGTCTCTATTTGCTGAAGTGATCCATCATTCACATAGTTTCTTACAATTCTTTATTCATAGTTCTTGAATGTTTAACTGACTTTGTCTACTAAGTAAAATGCCTGGGCTTCCTCAGGAAAAGTCTATTGATTACCTTTTTCCCCAGAGTGTTGAAGTACCTTATTCTTTCTTTGCCCATGTCATATTTTTTGTTAACAACAGTACATTTTACATAATATAATGTGGCAACTCTAGAAATCAGATTCCTCTCCTTCCTCACGGTTTTTTATTGCTGTTTTGTTGTTGTGATTTTTCTGAGATAATACTGGAAAGACTGTGTTCTGTTATGTGTGGCCATTGAAGACTACTTGGTTAGATTACTCATCAGCTAATGAGCATATAGAGATTTCTTTAAATGTCTGAAGCCCAATATGTCTCTCATTCTTTTTTTTTTTTTTGGTACCAGGGACTGAACTCAGGGGCACTCGACCACTGAGCCCAGCCCTATTTTATATTTTATTTAGAGACACAGTCTCACTGATTTGTTTAGCACCTCACTTTTGCTGAGGCTAGCTCTGAACTTGCAATCCTCCTGCCTCAGCCTCCTGAGCCACTAGGATTATAGGAGTACACCACTATGCCCAGCATGTCTCCCATTCTTTACTAAAAAGCTCTGCATATGTACAGACATGTTTAGGCGGTAACAACTCTGCCTCAGTATGTACTTCCTGTTTCAACAGATCAAGATGATAGCTTAGGGTCTTCTCAGGTCTCCTGAGCATGTACAGATCTCCATGTCAGTGCAAAGTCCTACACGTATGTGTAGCCCAGTGAAATCCCAGGAATATGTAAGAACTTTTAATCTTCTATTGACATTTCCTCAGCTTTTCTCTCTAAAAGTTTTAGTTATCCTTATTTGACCAAATTTTACTCATTGCCTTATGCTACTATGAAGTTAAATAACTGCTTGGGTGAGCTCAGAGTTAAGTCAAATAAAGACGGCCTTGGGAGTGGGTTCTTCTAGGGAACCACCAAATAGGTCACATAACACTTCATAAGACTACTCTGTGAATAAACTTTTCTTTATTAATTTCCAATCTACACTGTGTTCTTTGCTCATAGTTACCTGTTATCTTTGAATTTCTAGTAGAAGTTCTCTTGAAGTGCTACTTGGATTTTGGCAAATCTGATTTGCTAAATTTGTATCCATATAAATATGAAGGAAATTAGATTGATCAAGTTAGAAGAGAAAAAAAAATACTCTGTGTATACACTCTAGCCTAATTATATCCCATCCAATGGTTGGCACATTGCTGGTTTTCACCAAGACTATTGGCTGCTGGTTTTTAAGGGTACTGTGAATTTGGACAGAGGGGAATAGAAATGAGGTGAGCTAAAATGCCACAGAGATCACTGTTCTTGAAGGAGATTTCAGTCACTTATTATTGTGATAGTAGGAGCAAATGTGACTCCATTTTGTTTTATGACTTCATCCTGTAAAACAACCATGCCAAGTAGAAGAGTCATGACTGGAGCAAGATGTTCTTTTCCTTTTGCTATAGAAACCTTTAAGAACACGGAACTACCTAATGGGGTATTGTTTCTGCAACTAGGGTAACGGGGCTCTGTTTCTGTAACTGGGGTGACTGGGCTAACTTTGATTGGTTAGGCTTCCCTCCGCTTGACTGCACTGTCCCACTTCTGTAACCTGGCTTGCTTGCATTGGCTAGACCCCTTGAACATCCCTTTTGCGGTTTTCAGGCTTATAAGGAGTGCCCTTGCAATTGTTCGGGACTGATCAGGGGAACAGCTTTATGTTCTGGTCAGCCGCCACCGGTGTGCTTCAATAAAGGCTTGATTCGATTATACGTGAGTGGTCTGGAAGTCAGTTTATGAAACCCTGGGACCAAGCTTTAACTATAACATCATGAATAAGTGCTTCCTGGAATGCTGTAACCTTTGGTTAATATCCAGAATTTTGAAAAAGATTTTTAACTATTTTTGTCTATTTTCTCACTGCTTTTAGAATTTTCAGTTTTCTGTTCTACCACTTTTGATGTTTTCAACCAATCTGTTAATACTTTGCTAAAGATATCTTCACCTAAGTTCAGAAGAGATAAAGGTCTGTAGTTTTTTTTCCCTCTTACTTCTGTTTCCCACCCCCGCTCCTTTTTAGTACTAGGGATTGAATACAGGGTAATGTACACTGAGTTATATCTCTAGTCCTTTTTATTATTTGAGACAAGGTCTTACTAAGTTGCTGAGGATGGTTTCAAACTTGCAATCCTCCTACTTCAGTCTCTCGAATCAGTGGGATTATAGGCTGTGAGCCACTTCACCCAACAACACCCCCCCCACACTTTTTTTTATACAGTCCTCATCTGGTTTTAGTAGCTGGTTAGTGATGGCCTCAAAAAATGAATTAGAAAGGGTTCCATCTTCTTCTATTTCCTAGAAGAAATCATATAGAATTGGTGTTATTTCTTCTTTAAATGTTTGGTAATATTTGCTGGTGAACCCATCTGGATGGAGATTTTTTTTCACAAGGCTTTTAACTATGAATTCAATTTCTTTAATAGATTACTATTGAAGTTACCTATTTCACCTTGGGTAACTTTTGAAATTTTGAAGAATTAGTCCATTTAATCTAAGTTGTCAAATATGTACATACTGCATGGTCCACAATATTCCCATAGTCTTTTCATACCTGTGGGGTCTGTAGTAACATTACATCTTTTATTCCTGATATTAGTAATTGTGGCTTCTCTCTCTGAAGTCAATTTTTGTTAAAGGTATTAATTTTATTGTTCTTTTCAAAAGAGGCTGCTTTTATTTTTATTATTTCCTTTTTTCCCATTTATTATTGTTTTTCTTTTTCTAGAATGTTAAAATTGATTCCAGCTCTTTCTTCTTTTCTAAAATAATCATTTAATGGTTTAAATTTCCCTCTGAGCACTGCATTAGCTGCAAACTATACATTTTGATATGCTGTATTTTCATTTTTGGTCAGTCTGAAACATTTTCTAATTTTCCTTGAGACTTCCTGTTTTACTACAGATTATTTAGATGCATTCTGTTTAATTTCCAAGGATGTGAACATTTATCTGTTAGTGATTTCTAGTTTAACTGTTTTTTTAATATTTATTTTTTAGTTGGATACAATATCTTTATTTTATTTTATATTTATTTTTATGTGGTGCTGAGGATGGAACCCAGGGCCTCGCACATGCTAGGCGAGCGCTCTATGGCTAAGCCACAACCCCAGCCCTCTAGTTTAACTGTTAACTAAAAAAATAATCAATTGCTTATTATGGTTAGACAATATACTTAGTATGATTTTTTGGTGATCTATATTCCATATGCATTTGAAATCAATGTTTATTTTCCTATTATTGGGTGGAGTGCTCTATAATGTCAATTTATCCAGTTGATTAATAATGTTCAAGGACTGGTCAAGGACTGGGGTTGCGGCTCAGTGGTAGAGGGATCGCCTTGCACTTGCGAGACCTGGGTTTGATCCTCAGCACCACATAAATAAGTGAAATAAAGGTATTTAAAAATATATAATGTTCAAGTCGTCTATATCATTATTAGTTTGTTGACTAGTTCAATTACTAAGAGAAATTTTAAAACCTCTCAACTATGATTATGGATTTACTTCTTTCTTTAGATCGGTCAGTTTTTGTTTCATGTATTTTAAAACTCTGCTTTTAGATAAATACACATTTAGGATTGTTATGTCTTCTTGGTGACTTATTTGATTCTCAAACTTTGCCACAGCTATAAAAACTTTTCTCAGTTTGGTCAAACCCTTTATGCTCTGTTGAGAGCCACAGCCTGAGGGGCCCCAGCAAACTTCCAGCTGCCAGCAAACTTCCAGCTGCCGGCTGATGATTGGCTCACAGCAGCCCCAGCAACATCTAGCTGATTGGCTCCTCTGCGGTGATGCTCATTGGACTGTTTCCCTGCCCTTTCAGACCACGGAGCTGCTCATTGGGGGACTTTTTTGGCTCCGCCCACGTGACCCAGCCAATCGGCCTCAAGAGCAGGAGGATTGTGGGAGGTGGGGAGAAGCTTGTGTGGGAGAGAGAGGCTTGTGGAAAGCCGGTGGTGGCAGTTGAGGCTCTGAGGGTTTTTCCTGAGAGACTATTTTGTTTGTCGTGTGTGGTTCTAAAAATAAAGTTAGTTTCTTTTGACAAGTGGCTCCTGATTGTGCCCAGCCAGACTGCGGCAATGCTCTGAACCCAATTTATGATAACAGTCAGGCCTGCTGCACAGCTTTCATCTCAGAGCTTCCTTTCCTAATTATTTTGAGCATTCTCTTTGCCCTTCTTCAGAATTGGAACCTGTTCCCTGCATCCTTGATATTGTTCGTTCTAGATATTATTATAATTATTTTAATTATTATTATTATTTATTATTATTATTGCGGTGGTGTTGAGAATTGAACCCAGGGCCATCAGATTAATTCCTGGAAAAACTTAGAACTTGAGGCACTCTAAAATGTCAATGAAAGTGAAGTTAAAAACAGGAGTATCAGTTGTAGATACATATGTGAAGCAGATAGACAGTTCCCTCTTCCATCCAGATTAACTTTTTTTTTTTTTTTTAAAGAGAGAGTGAGAATTTTTTAATATTTATTTTTTAATTATCGGCGGACACAACATCTTTGTATGTGGTGCTGAGGATCGAACCCGGGCCGCACGCATGCCAGGCGAGCGCACTACCGCTTGAGCCACATCCCCAGCCCCAGATTAACTTTTTAAATAAATATTTTGGTATTATAGAATACCAAAATCAATGTAAAGTCAGGATACCATTCTATTTTGGGTCCACTTCTTTTTTTTTTTCCCCCTGCAGTGCTAGGACAGAGCAAGCACTCTACCACTGAGCTATATCCCCAGTCCTTGATTTCTGTTTAAAGTATCCTATTGAGATATTTATGTTAATAAAACAATTAAGAGAAAAAAAGGCTCTATCTTTCCTTTTCCCATTGTTTTCATATTGCCTTGCTCAAATAAATTATGCTCACTTGAGAAAAGAGTTTACTTTTAGTAAAGCAGACTAGTGAAAAAACTCAGTGCAGTTGAAACCTGGTTACAAAACTATCTGGTATGTTTTTGAAGACTGTTATTATATTTCATAGAGTAATATTATTCCAAGTACTTTAATAATCCACATGGGCTTTAAAAAAAGACAGTATTAAAATAATCAATTGATTTTTGATTACTTTAGATTTTTAAGATGTATCACTTAAAAAAGAGCACCTCAGAATAGAAGTGCCTTTTCTATCAATTAACATACATTATGAGTCTCAACAAATAATGTGAAATATTTATTTGATCTTTACTTTTTTATTTAAACTTTTTTTTTGCGTGTGATATTGGTGATTGAACTCAGGGGTTCACACATGCTCAGGCTCATACATACATAAGAGCTCTACCACTGAGCCACATCATCAGACCTTTTTATTTTGAGACAGAATCTTGCTAAATTGCCCAGGCTGACTTCAAACTTGTGATCCTACTGCCTTAGCCTACCAAGAAGCTGGGATTACAGGAATGTGCCACTACACCTAGATAATTGTTAAATTTTTTATTGATTATTAAAAGGATATGTTTCTTTCTAACAAATTGCTACTTTTAATGCTGTTTACCTGAAAAATCAGTAAAATGAGAGCTGGGTGTGTCCATGATTTTTATTTAATTTATTTATTTTGTGTGTGTGGTATTGTTTATTTGTGGAACTTAGGTCCTCACACATGCTAAACAAGCACTCTACCTCAGAGCCACATCCCCAGCCCACAAAGAAGGTTACTTTGGCTTCTCATGGTTTCTTGAAATCCAAGGTACTGTTTATACTAAAAAGAAAAAAAAAATCAATTCAATTAAGAATATTTATTTTCCTGAAGCTGATTATAGTAACCGAAAGTAAAGAACTTTAAAATATAAAGCCAGACATGGTGGTACACACCTGTAATTCAAGTAACTGGGGAGGTTGATGCAGGAGGACTGCAAGTTTGAAGACAGCCTCAACAATTTAGATACCCTATCTCAATATAAAAAGTAAAAAAAGAACTAGGAATATAGCTCAGAGGTAAAGTGCCCCTGTGTTCAGTTCCCAGTACAATATATACAATATATATTGATTTTTTTCAAACCTCCCCTACAAACTATTAGCTGAATACTAAAATTCAAACAAAACAGGCAGAAAGGAAATGAAATATTTCAAGAACAATTTGCAGTGCAATTTGATGCCAAGTAAAATGGAATTTCTAGGCGGAAAAGGGTAGCAGGATATCAGTAGCTGAAAAATAGAACTCAGTCATTTAGTTTGAAGAGAAACACATACAAAATGCCAATTTGAAATGATGGGGAGAACAGTGGGTGAAAAAAAAATTTCTATGTAATTAGTAACATGCAAACTCAAAAACAACTTGCTTATGTGCAGAGTACACAAGTTGAAAAAAATCTAAATTCTGGATTTGGTTATGTCACATTAGTGTTAACTGTGAGTCTTTTGGTTGAATTGCAAATGCCATGTGATATGTTTGCATAATTTATTCTTAGCCTAATTTTTCCTAATTTTATTTATTTATTTGTTTGTTTTGGTGCTGAGGATTGCATCCAGGGGTGCTTTACCACTATATCTCCAGCCCTTTTTAATTTTTATTTCAAAACAGGTTTTAAGTTGATGAGCATCTCATTAAGTTGCTGAGGTTGGCCTTGACTTTGTGATCCTCCTACCTTAGCCTCATATATCACTGGGAGTACAGGTATGTGCCCAGCTTTAACCTGTTTCTTTTATTTAAATTATTTCTAAATCTTACAGCTTCCTTGGAAACAAAATATTACATGAATAAGCTAATTACATTTTACAAATAGAGAATATAACATTTTAAATTAGTCTGTACAAAATCTGAGTATGATGTTTGAAATTTGGAAGTTGGACTACAATAAGAAATTATGGCATAAAATGTTGATTCAAAAACTTGTTCCACAAAGCACATATCTTGAAGGACCAGAATCCCTGGAAAAAGAAGTATTATGAGTAAATGTTAGCTGGGCAAAGTGGCACATACCTGCAATCCCAGCAACTGGAGAGGCAGAGGCAGGAAGATAGCAAGTCTGAGGCCTGCCTAAATAGAGACCCTGTCTCAAAAAATAAAAAGGGCTGAAGATATATAGCTCAGTAGTACAGTGTCCGTGGATTCAATCCCCAGTACCAGGGGTGGAGTGATTAAATGTTTCATTGGTGTTCTTCACTACTAGGACCATAGCTTTACTGCCAATTACACTATTTAAAAAGTAAATATTTTATCTTTTCTTTTTAAAATTATTCAATATTCTTCAGTTTCAAGGTTATCCATCAATATTATTACTATGCAGAGAAGACACTGACAATGTAGATTGCAGCCAATTGTTATCTAAACTTTAGAAATGACATTAAAATGAAAATACTTTTTTTTATTAGTTGCCTTCTTTATATAAAAAAGAATAAAAATGATGTAACTGCAAGAGCTTACTGCGCTCTGTAATAGACGTATTTGTTAAGTAACTTTTATAAAATACAAAGTATTCTATACATCGTTAGTGACTGAGTATCCTTTGCAAACAGAATACTTCCTCTCACAGCTGGCATGTCACTTTTGTTCTCTGACATATTTTGGGTGAGATAAACAATTTTCACCTATAAAATTATTTATAGGTGAAATTATATTTTGTCTTATGAACATCAAAACCTCAGGGTTTTGATGTTCATAAGAAAATTTTTTGGTTTGTTGGTGAGCTTCTTTTAATAAACATTTACTAAGCTTCTGTATGCCACTCATTGCTTAGCCATTATAAACTTTCTTTAAACTTTAGCAAATTTTGAGGATTTTGGGGGGTCTAATTTATTCTATTTACTTTTTTCAAGCTTGATTTGGGACCTCTAACACTAAAAATATATCTTCTTAGGGTTCTAATTAAATAAAAATTTACCACACTTATTAAAGAGTAAAGTAGCAATGCTAGTTCTACATATAGTTGGGATCACAGATAGTATTAAAATAACATAATAATAAATTTTACTCTACTTACCTACCTAGGGCCTGGTTTAAGGCCCTATATGCTTGAATTTCATACCACTGACGGCCAGGTAAAAGACCTCTCAATTTTGAATGGTGGTCATTATATTGTCGCTTTAGTTCAACCTAATAATTTAAAAACATATTAGAAATGTGGTAGACAATTAAAGCTTAGTTTTAAAAATCATATTAACTTCTAACATTTAGAGTATTTTTTTTTTAGGGTGAAGAGATTTTTTTTTTTCACTTTTTTCCCCCATTCATTTAAAATAGTTTTATTCATCCTTTTATTCCCTTAAATCCCTCATGCATTTAATTGTGTGATGAGGTCAGGTTTGAGATAATATATATACAGTAAAATTCACATACTTGCAGTACGTGAGTAGGTGAGCTTTTTTTTTTTTTGGGGGGGGTGCTGGGGATTGAACCCAGGTCCTTGTGCATGCAAGGCAGGCAATATACCAACTGAGCTAGCCCCCAAGTAAATGAGTTTTGACAAACATATAGTTCTGTAACTACCATGATTGCATGGTATAAAACTTTTTATTGCCATTAAAAGTTCATTCTTATCTCTTTTCAGTTGATTTCCTTCCTCTACTACTGGCCCTGGTAACAAGTGATCTGCTTTGTTTTGCCTTTTCAAGAATGTCACGTAAATGTTATACAGTATGTAATCATTTGCAACTTTTTTTTGCTTAGCATTTTTATAATTAATTCATGTTAAAAAGTATATAAGTAGTTCATTCTTTTATATTTATCCAATCTGATAATTTCATCATCATCATCATCTTTTTTTTTTTTTTTTTGGCACTAGGATTGAACCCAGGGCACTTTATCACCGGGCTATGTACCCTGCCCCTTTTTATATATTGAGACAGGGTCTTGCTAAATGTCCTCAAACCTGTGATCCTCCTGCCTTAGCTCCCAAATCACTGGGATTACAGGTGTTCACCTGTAATCTTTGCTTTTTAATTGGTATGTTTAGACTGTTTGACCTTGTAAATATTGCATCAATAGTTACTGGATTTTGTTGTATTATTTTAATAGTGTCGTATTTCTACTGGAGTGTAGCTAGGTTACTTGGAACCAGATGATTTTTTCTGAGGGTTAATTTTACATGTTCTTAGGACAGATCCTGAGCAGCCTTTAGGGTTAATTTATCCCCAGCATAAGGGTGAAACTCTTCTGTTGATTATATTCCAAAATATTAATATGTATTATTAGGGTCCCTCCCTCTCACTCTGGCTAGTGAGAATACAAATTATTCCCATCCCTTTGTAAGTTCAAGAAATTGTTCTGACTCCTCTTCTTGGCCTCTTATGTATGTGCCAATTACTAGTCAACCAAAGAGTCAAGGGGACCTGTTTTCAGGCATTTGGAACTTTCTTTCTATATAGCTCCATCCTCTCTGGCACTCTGCAAATTCTTGTTGCCATGCCCTCCTTAAACTCTGTCTCTACCTCTCACTGAGACTGCGGAGCTCAGTTTGAGTTTATTCTCTTGCACTATGTAATGTGACCTGGTAACTATCTCCAGGAAATAATATGGTACAACTGGATGTTCATTTTCTATATTTTCTTCCTCTCAGGAATCTCTGTTCTATTGTGCATATTGTCCTATATCTAAACACTGTTTCAAGACATCCTCAACAATAAACTCATTCTGTAAATTGAACTGTAAATTGTACTGAACTGAATAAAATAACTCCAAAGTTAACTTTAAAAAATGGTATAAAATAAAAATGATTTTTCAGGTAGATGTCAAAACATATCCTTATTTAAATAGTGCAATACTAATATGGGACCTAATAAAAGAGAATATTGGAAAACAGAAGAGTTTGGAAACAGACCATTCCTTATTTTGCACATATTACAGATAGAATTTTAAATCAGAGAGAAAAAGATAAATGACTGAACATTAGGAATAACCTTTGAAAAAGTTATCACTAAAAAACAGTAAAGTTGGATATCTATCTTTTGTCATTGTTAAAATAAATCCAGGATATGTTGAAAAACTATAGAAGTTATAAAGAAAATACAGAAAATAATTTTATAATCCTAAAGCAGGAAAGAGCATCCAAGCAAGACTATAAAACAAAAGCCACAGAGGAAGTTTTGATAAAACTCTCTACCTGAAAACTAAAAATTTCTAAGGTAAAAGAAAAACAAAAATGAAGATTAAAAAAAGTGACACTGGGCTGGGGATGTGGCTCAAGCGGTAGCGCACTCGCCTGGCATGCAAGCGGCCCGGGTTCGATCCTCAGCACCACATACAAAGATGTTGTGTCCACCGAAAACTAAAAAATAAATATTAAAAAATTCTCTCTCTCTCCTCTCCCTCTCTCTTTAAAAAAAAAAAAAGTGACACTACATAACATAAAGTATAAATAATATCTTTATACACAAAGAATTTCTACATATATTTTTTTAAAAGGCTCCTCCACCTCTCTGCCACTACTGGGGATTTAATCCAGGGCCTTCATAGGCTAGGCAAGTGCTCTACCACTGAGGTGCATTTCCAGCCCTTTTTACTTTTTAAATTTTAAGTCAGGGTTTCACTAAGGTTGCCCAAGCTGGCCTCAAATTTTTGATCTTCCTGCCTCAGCCTCCCGAGTCAGAGGGATTATAGGCATGTACCACCACACCTGTCTAAGACAAAATTCTTAAAAAAGTGGAAGTCATATGAAATTGTTATTAGTAGCAAAAATGCAAATAGCTTATATACACATAAATAAGATGCCTTACTAGTAACCAGGAATACTAAAATAAAATGCTACTTTTCATATATAAGAATGGCAAGTATTTTAAAGAAGGATAATTTCATTTCCATGCCAGTTATGATGAAGTAGCTAGGACTAAATTTCCTACCTTATACAACCACAAAATTGAACAAAGCATATGAGGCAACTCTTTCAGCAGCAAAGGACAAAGGGTCAACAGCACCTCATAAGAAAAGGAATACTCAAGAGGTAAGCATTTCAACCTTCCTATGGGTATAATTTCCCAATCACAGTGCAATGAGCTGCATTATAGAACACAGTGATTCTGTTGAGCTTATTTAGGAAGCTTTGGTTTAGAGCATTCGACGGTTCTGGTATTGGTAGGGCAAAGCAAATAAAGTAGTATGGAGAACAGTCCCATAGTCCACATGCAGGTCTTCTGAAGTTCCTGATTGAAGGTCTGGAAGCATGTCTATATGACAATACCACCCAAGACTTAACAGAAAGCACCTAATTAAAGTTGAGAGTAGAACAGAGAATAAAATAGTTAAGGAATGTCTGAAGATGTTGGAATTCTGGCTCAGCCAGACTAAAGATATGTTGTTACCACCTGTTAACCCCCAACCATCTGAAACATGAAAGGCCAAGTGTCAAGTTAGAAATAAGGATCACAATTCAGAGTGAATCCTATTCTAACCAACCCCAGTAAAGAATTAAACCAGGTCTGGGGTTGTGGCTCAGAGGTAGAGCGCTCACCTACCATGCATGAGGCACCAGGTTCAATCCTCAGCACCACACAAAAATAAAATAAAGATATTGTGTTCACCTATAACTAAAAAATAAATATTCAAAAAAAAAGAATTAAACCAAACTGTGACAAGATCCACTGGGAAGAGGATGTTTAAGATCGGATGCTTTGAGTTTTCCCCAAGTCTCCCCTGATTAACTATTTCATTAAGTCATGCCCACACAAGTCCAAGATGATCAGACTCTAATTGAAATTCCTACAAAAACAAAATTAATATTCTTCAGAGGAACACAATCCAGAATCTCTGTAATGTACCATCCACAATGTCTAGTATATAATAAAAATTATTAAGAAAAGTAACCCAAAATAGGGGAGAAATAAAAGAGAGCAGTCAATAGAAACCAGCCAAGAGGAAGACAACAGCAAAGACTTAAAAGTAGCTGTTATAAATACATATAAAAAATACTGTTTAATAAATGAAATTTAGGGAATCTTGGTAGAGTAAAAATTATTTTTAAAAAGTTCAAAGAAGAATGCTACAACAAAAAATACAGTAACTGAAATAAAAATTCATCCAACAAATTTAATAACAATTTTGAAGAAGGAAAAAGAATTTGAATTAAGAGTTAACAGAAGCAATAAAACACATAAATAAGAGAAAGACACTTCACATACACGAAGACACATTTTTGGTGTAAAAGAATTAATATATAAATGCATTCACTATTGATCTAAACAAATAAAATTCAAAGCTGAAATAGCACTAATGCATTTGATATAATATGTAGTGTCTCAAAAGTTTCTACTCTTTTTTAAAATATTTATTTATAGGTGGATACAATCTTTATTTTATTATTATTTTTTTAATGTGCTGCTGAGGATTGAATCCAGTGCCTCATGCATGCTAGGTGAGTACTCTACCTCTGATCCACAATCCCAGCCCTCAAAGCCCTCTACTCTTAAATCTTTAAAACTTTATCATCACTAGAGTGAATTATTTTTAAAATGTTTATATGGCATACATGATTCAGACTAATCTACTCGTACACACACACACACACACAGATAAATTAATGAAATTTCCTTGTAAAAAAATTTATCCTTTAAAAAGTAAAATGCAAGTTCTGAGCAAAAGAGAAATATATTGTTGGGCTCTATATCAGTGGATTCAACCAATTGTAGAATGAAAATATTCAGAAAAAAATTGTGTCTTGTACTAAACATGTATAGACTTTTCCCCCTTGTTGTTATTCCCTAAAAAATACCGTATAACAACTATTATGTAGCATTCATACTCACTGTATTAGGTATTATAAATAATATAGATGACCAGAAGTATATGAGAGGATATACATAGGATATAGGCAAATATTACACCTTTTACACAAGGGACTTGAGTATCTGTGTATTTTGATAACCACAGTGGGTTCTGAAACCAATCCCCGACAGATACTGAAAGATGAATGTATTATGATTTTAGACTTTTCACACTGAATGAAGGAAGTTTCAAGCATCTCTCAAGAATGCTGTAGACACTTTAAAAACAATATTCAAAGTAGAAAAACTGATATAATATGAAGAAAAAAATTTTTAGAGCTGAAAGGAAACTTGAATTCAGTTCAATATTTGTACTTTTGGCTTGGTGTAAGATATCTATGC